ACTTGCTATGAACTGCTGTGTATTTTGTCCTGTGTATTTACATTTTTTCCAAAGGGGAGAAAAAGCAGTTTTTTCCGGATAAAGATATTTTCTGCTTTTGATGGATGAAATTAGTCTGCATATCCTTGAAGACTGCCAGCAAGTTTACACTAGGAACTGGAATGAAGCCACTGATTCTTTTCACATGGGTTCCATCAGATGGCAAAAACCCCATCACATAGCCCCATAATGCTGGTCTTTCAATCACTGAAGAAGGTGACCTAAGGAGTGGATACCCACTACGGGTTCTCTGGGAACCACCGTGGTTGTAGGAACACTGTGACTGTCTCTGACTGCCATTACTACGAATGGCAATTACATTTATACAACTTTGTGCTTTGGAAAAAAGAAATACAAGACTATTCCGTGGGACTTGCATCTGGCGCGCTCAGAGCTATTCGAGTGCAAGAACTTCTGGCATGTGAAGCTCAGAGCCTTACACACCCCAGCAGTGAATCTGATGATTAAAGTTTGGTTACAAACCAGTTGCAGGGATTGGACCCAACTGAATTCTGTAGAAGCGTTTCAGGTTTGAACACTACATCAGAGCCCCAAACACTTGATTATCAACTTAGGTAAAATGTGTACTCGTGTGTTTGTTAACGTTTTGGTTTGATCCCTCTCTAGTTAGCTGAACCAAATGGTTTGTAAGAAAGAACTCCTTTTAGTTATGGTGTACTTCACTGAGCAAAAAAGTGAAGTAGATGTACTTCATGTACACTTTGCATACACTGTCGTCAGGTCCCATCCGCCATTTGTGTGTTCCTTTTTCCCTTTCTTGTGGCAAATGTTTTTGCTGTGAGTTGCATGGATCTTTTAACTGGGACCTCCCTACAACACCTGCAAACAGTGCCAAGACCCAGAGACCAGAGACCAGCGACCACTGACCCTTCCTCCATTCCTGCCATCGTCCTGGTTTGGCACTATAACGTCCCATTCAAAGGAAGTATTTGTTTCTTGGACCACCATATGCTTTAAGAAAGGTTAATACCCCAGGGATTCTGTATTAGAGTCCAGCAGGTTACTTCATTAAATGAGCATATCAAATTTGATTGGGAGTTCTCATCAGCTTTCTGTTCCATTTAATTTTATTTTTATACAGATGAAGAAATTACTGTTACACCCATACCCACTGACAAGCCAACTACATTACTTCACATCTACTTTATAACCACATATAATTACATAACCTCTTGGTTTATTTTCTTCCAGAACTCATGGCTCCTCATAGAATCTGTTCCGTCTGATCTGAGAGGCAGAATTTGGCCTAAAAAAGGGGTTTTAAGACATTTACATGGTTTGGGTTTTTTCCTATATATTCCACATTTATTAACCACAATTTGATTCGAGCAGAGCAGCAAGGGCTTCACTGATACAGTCTGGAGAGGCTGTGTTAGCAAAAGGAAAGGGCAAGCCCAGCATCAAAATATTCTTCCTAAATCTCCTTATTGTGGGAGAGCTTCCATCTTTTCAGCCCCATGCTATAAAATCTCTCTTAGCACACTGTGTTCCCTCCACTTTGTTCCTCTTCAGTTACAGGCACCACAAGCACTTTCCCACATAGAATTTCCAATCAACATTCCTCCTCAAACCCTCCTGGTCTTCAGGAGATTTCAGAAATAAAGCAGAAATTAATCAGTACAGCAAAGTAGTCTCACTTCACTGCGTGAGGGCTACCTTGGATAAGAATGGGGCTGGCCAATTACATCCATGTCAAAGCATATGGCTGGTTACAAAAAATAGATAGGATGAAAACTGTATCTGGTAATTTTCACAGGACCATAGTTTTATGCTAGTATAACCTCACTGAAGTCAATTAAGGCAGATTACTGTAAGGCTGGAGTATATCTGCAATGAAATAGCCTCTAAGATTGTTTTTAATGCTCATCCCAAGTTGCATCCTTAAAACATATTCATAGGCCACGTGGTCCATTTGTTATAATTTATCACAGTAACAGTGAACAATCTGGCATAAACATATTCTTTCATTTATGCCAAGAAACGGCATGCACCCCTCAGGTCCAAGAGAAGGCACCAGAAAGTGCAGATGTTCACCCCTTCGCATCATCAGCCCCTGGTCTGGAAGCATTTTCATATATGATCTTATCAACTTTCAAAGTAATGATTCGATCTTGCAGACCTTCCTCCCATCACTTTTATTTATTTAAGTGACCAGAGCTGCAGAAAGTAAAGCTGCAATACCAGGTTGCTCCAAGCCCTGTCCAATCTGGTCTTGAGCACTCCAGCCACAGCTTCTCTGAGCAACCTGTGCCAGGGCGTCACCACCCTCATGGTGAAGAATTTCTTCCTTAAACCTAATCTAAATCTCCCCTCTGTCAGTTTAAACCCCTTGTCCTGTCACTACATGCCCTTGTACAAAGTCCATCTCCAGATTTCTTGTAGGCCCCCTTTATGTATTGGAAGGCTCCTAAAAGGTCATGAAACAGATGACCTTCTCATTTCCCAGAGCACTGCAGACATGAGGAAGAAACTACTTTGAGATCTTCTACCAGAGAGGAAAACCCCCCAGACTGGTGCCTGCAGCAACAGGACTCCCTGGGCATGGTACTGGTGAAGGATCAGGCACAGTGGGGCTATGGGGTAGCATCACTCCTGCCCAGGGCAGTACCTGGTGCACACATACAGGACCTCAGCTGCTGATCAGAGCAGTCAACCAGAAGCCACTTCTTGTCTATAGACCAACACATATACTGCAGTGGCTGAGGGGGAAGCAATCCTCAGAGCAGACGTGATTCATGCTCACCCTAGATGACTATTCTTCATCTCAGCCTGTGCTGGACCATGCCAAGGTCGCACACACTAAAATCACACACTTAATCAAGCTTTGCAAGGATTAAGCTGCGCCAGAGCTGAGGAGTCGCCTATGCCAGAAGAATGCTACCATATGAAAGCAACACCAGCATGTAATTGAAATAATTTATTTACCACTAGAGCACCACAAAAACAGACATACAATGTGTTAAAATACAGAGTAATCGATCACCAAAGTACAACACAGCTGTCCTTTAAGTTCCTTGGGGGTTTTTTCTCCTTTAAACCATGCCAACCATACAATTGTATTCATGCTAAACACACAAAAACGCTGTCCTACCCCACCCAGCTAAGTGCTAAGATTCCCCCTCAGCCCTAGTGAACCCCTTGGATCCCATCTTTCAAGGTAATGACTGTTTCCCACCAGTTCTCAAGGTCTTTGCTCAGACAGTGGCAATTCTTTATGGTAAGGCCCCTACCACAAAGTCCTGTTGCAGATCCATCCCAACACCATCCGAGGGGAATTACATCAGACCTGAGTGGCGCTTAGGACTCCCATTAACCCACTCTTGTAGAGGGGAGTTTCACCCATGAGTTCCGCACATTGTAGGATCAGGCCTAACATCCTTGGTAATTAAAGGGAAATACATGCCTAATGAAGGAAAAAAGCAACCAAACAAAAGTAGGAGCTTTGTAATAGAGTATTTCAAATACTATCAGTGCATTCCGAGGAAAATAAAAAAGTGAAAATAAAAGTATTCACTCCTGGGGTAATGACTTGGAGAAAGAAAAGTTTTATACTTCAATTTAGAGCAAAACTCCAAACCCAAACCGAAATTTTCAGCTGCGTCCAGCGCATAGTGAGTATAGTTGGACAACTATTCTATCTCCTATTCCACTTTTTCAAGCTTCAAAACCAGGTTCGAGCTGCATTCCCATCGCAGGGAATTGCGAAAACGTCTTTATGTTCTGCAAAATGCATTCATCCTTGTCTCCTTTCCTGTCCAACAAAAATACAGTTCTCATACTGAACCTGATAAAACTAATTTTGCTGCTGTATCCAGCAAAATCCAGAGTATTTCCTACCCTGAGGAGTTTCACTGAGTTCAGTGCATCTTCTCACTGGAGTAAGTCTGGCTCAAGCAAGTGTTAGCAGGACAGAGTTTTCACTTGTTCATCTCAACTCACTAAATAAATCAGAAGTCTAACATACCTCCTCCTCTGCGCTGAGTCAACGGGTGGGATTAGATCATCTGTGGGGCTACGTTTCCATCTAGGCCATAAGCACAGGCTCTCCTGAAGTCCCGAGGAGCCACGTGTGTGCAAGCTACTGCGGTCCTTCAGCTTTGCATCAGTGTTCTGCTGAAGCCAAAGAACATTGCACTTCTCAAAACTGGAGCTGACAACATCAAGCTCAGGAGCGTCCTCCTGACACCGCTCGGGTCAATGACAGAAAAGGTCCTTCTCATCCAAGTAGTACGCTTCTAACACAGTTTTCCAGCTCTGCTGTGCAAAAGCCATTCATCATGTGAAATGAACTGGATGTGCCTTCTTCAAGCTGTTTGTGCTAATTTAGGTTGGGGCTTTTTTTAAATGAAGTATGCAACGTGGAACTTTTTTGTTTCTTTTTTGGTTTTTTACTCCCTCTACAATATTTAAACACGCGTAACAACAGCCAAATCCTAGGAATCCCATGTTCCTTTTTCCTTTATTTTTAAAGAAGCTTTAATGTGAACTCAACTGAAAAACAAAAATTGGCAAACTTGTAAAAATCACGGGTCTGATCCTGCAAATCCTCACACACACAAACCAATAGTCTAAAGGGACCTGCTGTGCCAAGTTAAAGGCAAACCTCTGCTACCTGCAGCAGGAGCAGGATCAGTCGCATGGACTAACTGCAGGGACAAGTCCCCACTGCGTGCGAGGCCAAGGACACGGCCTCTGACCACAGACTGATCCCACTCGGAGCATAGCTGCGTCAAGATGCTTCCTACCAGCCTTCTGCACAGTGGTGAATGTCATTCCCTGCAAGGTTTCGCCTCGCTTCAGCCAGGCTGGGACATCTCTTCTTGCAACACCTCGCTGCCTGCCCATCTGTTTGAATGTCTACAGCCGAAAGGAAATAAGAAGGCCAAGGAATCCGTATCGCATCACGATTCCAAGTGTGAGAAATGGGGAACAACAGAGGAAGGAGGGGAAGGGGGGAGAGGGGAGAGATTGCTTTAATCCATCCTTTTTATAAAACAGAAAAACAAATGGAGTCAGGTAGCTTATGTCATAATGATGAACAATATACAAAGCACATGGATAGCAATTATTATAAAACATGTATTTGTAGTGCAAGTCAAAATATAGGGACTCTACTCATACTGGCCAGCTAGAGGGAAACACATGATTCTGAGTGATCAAAAAGAGCCCCAAATTCAAATTCAAACTCGTGAGAGCTGACAGTATTACAGAGTACAAAAATACGGTGAAAATTTACACATTACACATAAAGTACTTATTTTTTTAATAGTTTACAAATAGAGATCTACAGATATGTTTCCAATTAAGCTGGCTTTTACTACCCACCTATTGTAATACTCTAGGTATGGTTACATATACCAAAAGAACAAAAAAATCCCATAGCATAGCTATACAGCAACATATTAAGGTCTGAAGATTAGACCAGTACATGTTAAATATTTCACTGGTTTACTAAACTGACATTTTAAATCATTTACAGTAAAAAAACTTATAGACTTGTCTTTGAGACTGAAACAGAGTGTCCTTTATTAGTAAATTATTCAGTACTTAAAACAAGGGTTTGAGACCTTACAAGAAGCCTCTCTAGGCAGCTGGCATGAAAAAGAAGGTATTTTAAAGGCAGAGTTTCTCAATAATGTAATAAGTGATTTCTATTTTACTGGAACTAAACTAACCATTACTTTTCTGATTCGTTTGAGCTCGTGTTCCGTTAGGCTTTATATGCATTTCTGGCAGTTCTATTTGGTCTCCACTTTGTCCTCCTTGGCTGGTTCTCTTTTTTCCAATGGTGATATGAAATGTTCATTTGATAGTTTTTACACACAAATAAATAACGCACTGTTAACTCTACAACTAAGAGGAATGGGTAGGATGCCTATTGCGTAACGATACAGAGAGATCAAGTAAGGCACGGGACAGATACAGCAACTCCACTTCATGGGATTTTCCTGTTTTTTTTCCTTTCACATAGTAACACTAACCATTTTCTTCCAGTGTTTATTTTTAAAGGTTTCTTTTTTTTTTCTTTAACTTTGCTTCTTTGTCTATCTCACTCTATGTGTAGGTGAAATGTAGGATAAAGGCCTTCAATGTTTTGCTTCGGATGCCAGTTTAAAAACAAAAACAAAACAAACTTTCAAACAGTTCAGTCTAGTACCACTTTTTTTTTCTTCTTTTTTGTGTTTTTTTTTTCTTTTCCTTTTTAACACTGATGAACCTGGGTTTTCGTTTGTCTTTCCTTCCTTCTCGCTCCCTCTTTCTGTTTTTGCTTGGTTATAATACACACACGTCACACTGTTTCAGGGGTATCCTTTAGCTGCACTTGCAAGACTTTACGATCATGTTGGACAGCTGTTCGATTTTGGGTGTTTTGCCAATGTAGTAGAGGATGGTGAGGGGTTCCAAATCCTGGGACACACAGCATGGAGAGGCAGAAGCTTCTGGATTTATGGTGTTATACAAGCTGAGTACCTAGGAGAAAGGAAAAAGAAGAGAGATTTAAGACAGCTACCTCATGCCTCCCTGCCACTGAGGAGCAAATTCCTTTCTGCATCGCTTCCTCCCACAGAGCCTGAGAGAAAGGCCAAAGGAAGCAGTATCCAGATTCCTGGATTTTGGTATATTTTATGCTGCTTCTGTTCAACCTGATGTCACAACCTGCCTGAGTTTCCTAAGGTTTTATCCATACAGTCTTAAACCTCATGCCTGGAGCCTGCTCTGAAAGCACAATCCCTTTGAATCAACACACACACTGTATTGATATGGAAAGAAGAAACTGAAAGGTTTTTATCTGTGTCTTCAGACTGCCATTTGCTGTTACAGGATTTTGGCTTTACAAGTGCAGCAAAGGGACAAAAGAGCCTGCCAGAGCAAAAGCTCTGCTCTTCCTTTCTGGCTTCGTTTTACTAAGTCCATTAATGCCACCCTGCAAGCACCAGGACTCAAGCTGCAGTTACTCCTGTTGAGATCCAGCTGTGGTGGAGTTAGCAGCGCTGGTGCTTTATGTCACATTGGATTCATATGCATGGTTCTCTGCAAGGGAAGTATGTAGGGTTACCCGCTGATGATGCATAGGCATTTCTGAGGATGCCATTAATGTGTTTGCCAAACACCAAGTGACCTTTTCCTAGAACTTCAACACAACATTTGCAGCTTAGAGAGACAGAAGATCTGTTCAGGACAGCAACACTAACTACTTTATTAAGCAACTTCTGGCTCCTTGGGCAACTATCCAAACCACGTATTTGTGACCATGACAGTTATTCTTCCTCTTTCCTTTAAAAACAAGTGCTGCTCCAAAATGTGTACACTACTACTCCACACCAGCACGGAAACATACTTACCTTTATTTATACCTCTGCCTGCTGACATTGCTAATAGTACAATGCCACAGCCAGTGACAGCTACGAAGGATAGCTATACCCGGGTCTGTAAACTCAGGATGAATGTGCTACCATGGCTTTATAGCCCAAAGGGAAAGCAAACTGCTCCTTGGACATGAAGAGTTCTCCCTGCCAGCTGACTTTGATCTGGTATTTTAAGGGAGGCTTGAAAAAGGGGAGACATCATTCTTAATGTGGACGTAAGGGTGAAATTCTTGCTTTATGACAACTGTGGTGCATATGTCTTGTATTTACTGTCTAGACATCCTTACTGACAGTTGAGAGAAATAAGCACTTCACAACAGAATACTACTCATCCTAAGGCAGCTGGCTAAAATACCGCATCTAATCCCTCAAATACGAAGTCCCATCTCAGATGACTATGACAGCACCTTGTGACACAAGACACAGACACTCCTTTCCATATAAATTTTCAAAGTACAAAAATGAATACATATTTTGGAGTAAAAGAAGTACATTTATCAGTACATTCTCATGAAATTCAATGAAAAGTCATAATAGATGATAAGTAGGTAATACGACTCAGCCCTTTTGTTACTCTAATAGTGCTTCCCTCAGTGTCTTTGCTGACCAAACTTTTTGTGCCATCTTCCACTCATGCTGAATCATGAAAGGTCCCTTCCCAGGCAGCCTCCTAAAGCTACAGCAAGCTCATACTCCCCAAAAGCATTCAGTCCATCCACATGTCGTATCAATGAACACATTAAAAACATAAAATCTCTAGGCTAGTACATTTCTAATGCTTGAGGCCATGTGTGAGTCCCTCTAAAGGGCCACATTTCATCATCCTTAGTTACTGAGACAATAAATACAAGCTTTGGGCTCTGGTGCTGATGTCAGTCCCTGCAGTTAAAACAGAAGCCAAAAATTAGGAGAAATGTTACGTACTCTGCTGTGCTGAGTATCTGAGCTCCACAAATATGGGCAGGCTCCTGCACAGAAATTAGCATGATATCCTTTAGGTTCATGAATCCATTTCCAGCCAAGATCCCTCTTGAAGTCAATATAAAGTGGACGCAGACAGCAATTATCCTGCACGTTCCTGGGAAATAAAATGCAGACAAACACACTGGTCATAAGAAAGACAACACAGGGAATAAAGATAATCCAGTTTCTTGCTCCCTGAATGATGCTTTACAGGCAGGCAAGTCTGAGTCCCAAGAACTCACAACCAAATCACATAAACAGTAGCTTATACTGTAACTGGAATCAAATCCTTATATATGGCAGGACTTGTTTACACAGACAGCTAATGGTTTCCCTGGAGGATTAGTATTTTACTCCAGGTCCTACCAAGTGGCCTTTCTGAGTAGGTGAGCAGAATAGAGGCGATAATTTGGCTGTCATTATGGGGCTAATGAGTCTGGGAATCATCCCAGACAGAACTCAGCTTCAGCTTTCTAAGGCCACAACCTTCCCCATCTGCCACTGTCTCTGTGAGACTGGAGACTGACAGGCAGATACCTGCTGCACGCAGACCCCGTGGGTCCACAAATGAGGGTCTGACCTCTGTATAAATGCCAACCATAAAGAAACATCATAAGCAACTGCATTACACCTCACAGGCTGGTACTACTAAGTATATGGAATATAGATGCATAGTTACCTAAAACAATAGGCAGCATCTAGAGCACGCTTCTTCCGCCGACTGGGCTGTTGCGACTCAAGTCTGTAGGAGGGTAATAACATTAGCAGAAGATGTGGGGTCTTCCCACTGTATTTTTTCCTATTGGACTTTAAAGCTTTCACATCACCACTGGAATATGTGTAGTCATCAATACCTTCAAAAAATACATTTTGGTGATAAACATTGTGTTGCTTTTTCTTCACAAATTAAATAAACCATCTCTTTAAAAAAAAATCTCTTAGAAACTGGGCAATGCTGGCGTCTGCTGAGCATGTTCACTGGGCAAGTGGGGGTGAATTTCAACCCAAGATCCCCAAGATATTCACAGTTCTCATGTTATCTATTGTTCAGCCCTCCCACACTCATTTAGCCATTTAATGGCCTTTCAGCACCTTTACCAGAACTGTTGAAATGAGTAACAGAAAAGATTATTTCAATCACTGCATCTGCATTGCTTAATTTCAAATGCCCCAAAGCAGTCATGCTTTTGCCATTTCACTTTGGGCAGTATTCCCATCTTTTAACAGCTATGTACCCTTTAAAACCTTGTACCACCATTAAAGCCACTCTGGATACTTCACCTGCATTTCCCACTGCTCAATTCCATCCCATCAGTTTTCTCCATCTCATTTATCTTGTAAATTCTCTGTCTCCCATTGCCAGTTTATACAAATGTGCTATTTTTTCCCAGAAAACCAGTTATTCTAGCCCCTTCTTTTGAAAGGGCATGGCAAGGACACTGATCAAAGTATTTCTTCTTAAAGTGGCAGTACACGACCTCACATTTTGTATTTTCTCTTGAAACACTAACTGCCTTACTAGCTTCTTCAACATGGCAATAGCACAGGTAAAAGCTCATAGCTCATGTTATGCCTGCTGTTAAGATCCTTTTGAAAATTAATCTCCTGAACCAGATATTATTTAAAGAGAACAAGATACACTCTTGCTTTTGCAACTTTTACAATTACAGCAACTAAACATAATACTAAAAACTGTTTAAATACACATAATGGCTTTGATCATACATATAGTATTTACTTAAGAGAAAAAAAATCCAATACAGTGAAACAATGGTTACAAAAGCTTAATACTTCACGAACAATACAGCCAAATCCTTGGAAAACAAATGAACCAAATCATGATATACTTAATGAGAACTGTATAAACAGAATTTGGGTTCTAATACTGCCATAGTTTTACAGGTACTGATGGATGGCAACTACAGCATGGTCAATCAAATAGCATTTCCCTTTTTGAAACTGAAACTTTAATGGCTTAAAAACACAAGGGACCTGATGTGCACTTGATATATGTAGTCTGTATCACCTTGTCTGCTGTCCATAAGAAGCACATATATCCATAACCCTAACTACACACTGTTGTTTACTTTTTAATGCCCACTCAATCCAATCTCCCTACCAAGCTGTCAGCATAGAAAAATACTCTGTGTAGCTAATATATCAGTATCTTGCAATAAATTCTACATGGCAATATAGATACATAGAGATAATCCGTGTTAACTAATGTAGTTCTGTTGACTTCACATGAGAATCAGACTTCCACTGCTGGAAGTAGAAGCACATAGACATACCATTACTGTTTCTTCAGCTCCACAGTGCATTGGCAGTCAAACACTGTAGGACATTTATACATGTCTAGAACCTATCGTTCAGCTCTTCCCAAAGTGACTGATGCCATTGCTCAGAGTAATTTAAAGTATTACTGCTCTGATCAGAGAAAAACCCCAAAGCAACAAACCCAAGAGTAGCTGGAGATAGTGGGAGAGCTGGAAGTACCTGTGCAGGTGCTCACAAAGACTGTGACCCTCTGTACTAAGTGAGGACAAAGGAAGGTGCTCTGTAAGCAAAGCAGCCAGCTGCTGCTTTACCTATACTTTGCCACAACGAGTATTGTTTAACACTCATAAAACTCTCACACACGTATCTACTGCAAGCAGCTACATGCGTGCTAAACACCATCCTAACTCTACATTCTAGCAACAGCCTTCTGTCCTAAGCTTGAATCACTGCAGTGCTAGGATGGACAGCAGGCAAAGGGTTTATCTTGAAAATATTAAGCAAGTTTTCTCATGACTATTAATAGTGGATTGCCTACTGTGCAATATTCTTTCCCACAACCCAAACTGTATGTGTATCTGGTGTGCATGCAGCAAACTACAACACAGACACTTAAGGACACTGAAGCTGCATTTATGCCATCTGGTTTTAGAGTAGTTCAGCTGATAGTTCTACCCTTGTGCCTTCAATACCATTTCCTACCAGCTGAGAATCTAGATTCTCAAATGAGCAAGTTTTCAATCAACTGAATGCCATTTAGAGAGGCAGTAACTGCTGTTTCCCTCCTCAATCAGTAAGTACCACAACATTTTAAAAAGATTTTTTTTCTTTCATTACCTGCAAATCTTGCTTCAAGCTCCTCACTTTTATTTGGGATGATATAATTATTGGAAGGCACGAAGGTGCAGCATGGACAATGTAAGCTAATCTTAAATCCAAGGTTCCTGTCTGCAAAACATAAAAGTAAGTTGGTTTTTCACACATGGAATGACCCTGAAATACTGCTGAGTTAATGGAGGAGTAGTCAGGGCAGGAGTGAAGGCAAAGAGCACTTGTCACCTCTGTGATGGAGCCATTCGTGTACAGCCTCAGTGACATCAAAAGACAACCATTCTCCTTCAGCTCTTGTTTTAACTACTTTGCTGTCGATGTAGCGCTGTCCTGGTGATGATAATTCTTTAGATTTTAGAACCTGCAAGAAACAACAAATATGATGGCCTACAGGTTAACATTTACCTGATTTTCATTAAAATGGACTACCCGCATTATCAAATAGTAGAAGAAACTACTGCAGCTCAAACCTCCATGGAACAGATGTACATTCAAGACACATTTTCAGACAGGATTTTCATAGGGTGCACAGGGAAAGGAAGGTGATGTAAAAACACACTAATGAAATCAGCTTATGCTCCCAAGCAAACATGCCACCACATTCCTTCCTAAGAGAAACCACACAGAAAGACTGCCATGAAAACTTGTCCTGCAACACCAGTGGTCAAGAGATCATAGTAACTGGAGCAGCGGAAGAGGCTATTTTACCTTTCTCAGTAATACACTAGTTAGAGCATAATAGCACAATGCTAAAGTAAAGCCTGTACAATGTAGTCTGTACACTGAATATATTATATTGCTCACCCATAACTATGGCATTGACTTATTCATGCTTCCAGCCTTCCCTCTGATTCGGGTACTAGTCATACACTAAACAGAAGAAAAGTTATTGTCCATCCAGGCAACCTGGCGGCATGCAGAGCCAGTCTTGTGTGAATTGTGGCCACACATGGATTTGTTCAACAAGGTGATGCTGCTTTCACCCAAACGCTGATCCAGCTGTATTTGTGTCAAGTTTCAGCTAAGCTTCCTACTGGGCATGCAGTAAAATAAATACCTATGCAAAAGGAACCCAGCTCCTCCCTTTCAAGACACAGCGCTGCGAGCCGAGAATTTCACATGCCCACAGTCTTCCTCTATCTGAATAATTCACTGAGTGCCTTCCCATACACAAGCATGGCCTGCTACTATTTACCCTAACTCTAGGACAGAACCAACCAGGCCATTGGCTGCTAACAGGTTTCTGTTTTCCTGGTTATCACTATGTTGATAGTTTGTGATGTAGGAGGCTGGAATGCCATGCAACGTTTAGTCAACTCCAATCAAGATGCCACACGATAACATCACTTTGTTAACTTCTGGCATGCCAGCTGTGCAACTTCGTATATTGTTTCGGGTTCTTCCTCTCTTCAACCATCCAAATCCATCTCCAAATAAGTAACTGACAATGTCTCATTGTTTCCTTCTATTTTCTCAACCCAGATCAATCTGACATCTCGCAAACGCTGCTGGAATAAAACAATGGTGAAACTGTGCAATACATGTAAAGAAAAATATTTCAAAAGAGGTGTGAAATTATGTCATCATGATAAAATTAGGCTTTTCATAATTAAACAGAAAAGCAGGCTTGAAAAAGCCAGACTCTGTCCAACATACAAAGCGTCCCTATTTATTTCAAGGGAGTGCTGGACTTCTCAAAGGCCAACAGTGCAGCTCCCACAATAACATTTGTCATATGAGAACAACAGCAGCATGACAAGCTCTCTGCCTTCTTTCTGATCAACATATATAGCAAAAAGAGATGAGAAGATGTTGGTCCAAATCCAGAAAAGTACTAAGTGCCCCTAGTAGGCGATGCTGAGTTCTCCAGTAGGAACTGAGGGCACGCAAACACTGAACACTGGGACTCCTTTTTACGAGGCAACCTTCAAACAAAGTGTTTGAACAACTGTTTATAGAGAGTCTGGCAGCAGCGAGGGGACTACCATTGCTCAGAAGTGCCAGAGGGATGAGAGAATCAGTAATCAATGCTGGGAAAGTCCCAGTCAAGCACAAATATAACTCTGCCTTCCCTTTGGTCTTTATCAGGTCAACTCGAGTGTTTCTGAGGATGCAATGCAGCTGTCATTATGCAAAGATGTGTTGGGGTGTGGGGGGGTGTGTGAGGCAAATGGGACACAAGAACTTGGCTCACTTCTCTTCCTTTCTGCACAGTCATATCTTTCCAAAGACTCCAGAAACTGCATACCTCAGTTTTGGCAGTGATGTAAGCATCTAAAAGCAAATAACGTGCCAAAAGCAATCTCCTGATGTTAACTATAATTGGTCTAAGATATATTTTGAAGACTCAGCTGTGCCTTGGTATCCAAAATAAAATGTCTTTATCCCAATCCCAAAGCCACCAAAAGACAAAGTCAAGGGCTGGCAGCGTGTACATTGCATGAAAGACATTGTGTAGAAGTACAATAAATCATCACTACGCATAGCCAGTGGTACAAAGAACATCCATCCTCACTGAAGAACTGAATGACAAGAAAAGCGTTTGCAGGTTTCACAACTATAGGACACTCTGAGACAGGATAGACACTGTGGATTGAAAGTGCTAGATATTATCCATACTGTGGTATTTATATCTGAAAGTAAGGCTTCTCTCCATGTTGTTTATGCTGCATGTTCAGGAAGAAAACCACGAAGAATGACCTAAAAAGTCAGAAACTAAGTATGGCAGAATTTCCACAGCTGACATCACGGGTTAAAGAGGCACTAGCCTCTTAAGCAAAAGGCTGTGAAGTGTGACGAATGCCATACATAATGAAATTAGCACCTCTGCTTCAATCTCCTTCTCCTTAGCTAAGCAACTTTACAGTGTTAGGGTGATGTACTATCTTAACAACCTGATTGCTTGTAAGCAAGAATATTCTAGACTCACCACTTCTAGTTTTGCCTTCTTTTTGTGTTATAGTGCTGCAAGTGTGGAAAGCTAACGGTGATACTGATGACACTGGATCCTCAGAGTCTACTGCTTCCCATAAAATAACATGAAGAAGGACTCTTCACTTCTTTTCCTACACTGAAGTCTACGTTTCCATCCACACTGAAGCAATTGCACTCTACATGGTGCTAAACGAAGTGGCCTCTTTGTAGGAACCCATCATAAATTTTTAAAGCTACGATATGTTCTTCAAGTGAGTCTTCCAGAAATTACTACACAAGATAAGCCTTTTTTGGTTTTTGTGCCATTTCCCTGTTGGCTTGCATCTTTGCCCTTTGCACTACATTTCTGGTCTTACCCTCCCCATCAGCAACATACCTTTTCCTTCAAATACACCCTCAAGCACATATTCCCATTGAAAAAACTTCTCTTTCAGTATTTCCAATACTTTCTTTCTACTAGATCGACTAGTTGCAAAAACAAAGAAGAAAAGCCTTTTCTGTGCCTTGCAGCTTTGGTGCTTGAAAGCTTGTCTGCTTCTTCCAACTTCACTGATTGGTCTTAGAAGAGGTATTACCTTTACCTATAAACATTGCTTTACCTTCCTATAAACATTGCTTTGCCTTCCTATAAACACTGCCTTACCTTTATGCTTAGCCCATTGTAACCACATCAAACACTGTTATCAGAAATGCTGATGAACAACTTGTACCTGCAGGAGCGAAACGAAGCTTAAAAGGTCTTTGTGGAAAAAAGTTTTCAGTGCACTAAAAATATTAACTGAAGACAAGGGGGAGGAAAAAACCCAAAACCACAGGGGAGAAGGAAGACTGAGTTAAGCTTCCCCTTTAATCCTTTCTCATTTCCTTCTGGCACCTTATCCATGCACTCCCCCTTAAAGAGGCAGAAAGAGTTTGGTGTGTCTGTGCGTCATGACATGGATGGCCAGGGCTCTTGGGGTATGGGGAGTACTGTGCAACACCACCTGCATGTAGAGATGACAGACTCAATCACTTGTGTGAGTAGGAGACAAGAGTTTACACACACACAGCCTCATCTCCCTCACTTCTGAGTGACACATTTAAGTCAGTGAAAGCACAAGACCAACTAATTCAGAATTCAGGTTGTACAAAAATCTATCTGAACATGGGGATGTTCTTCCAGGTGTATCTGTTTATTTGGTCTCATTTTCAATAGAGTCATAATTCAACGCTGCCTCTTCTAATAGGGGATTACACACGGAACATATGCATATGATCACATGTGGGAACGAGCTGAATAAAGGTGGAAGTGTTACCAAAAGGTTATCCAGCAGACTTCTAGCCCAGTAAGCAGAGTTATTTTCATTCAGTAGCAATGCTTTAAATTCTAAGAACAATTTGGGTTTGTCTACCCTCTTTGTGCAGGATTCCTCTCTTTCACAGGAAATCAAATAGTTAGCTAAAATGCTTGTTAATCTCTTATTGACAATTATCTTGTACACTTAAGCCCTGCCTTCTAGATCTCTTTTTCTATGGCTACTACTAACCTTCCCCTCACCAATCTTCTACCTTCTAAACAACACTCGGGGAAAAAAATATCTCACAAATACCAATGAAGATCCTCTAGATATCACATACATGCAGCTACTGTCAGCAGATCAAGGGAAAACAAGCACGTGAACAGACAAATAACACAGTTAATAGCAGAAAAGGGCTCATGAAGCAGCCAGATGCAAACAAAGCATTGCTCTTGCTTGTACAGCTACCCATGTTGAGGAAGCCCAGTCGGGGATCTTGGTGATGACAGCGCTCACATGCCACCCTCATCAGGCCTGCCAGATTTCTGGTATTGTAGAAATCCTGCAGAAATCTGCTCTTCACTGGTTCTGCAAAGGCACTCTGCTCAATCTGCAGAGGGACACCCGCTGCTCCGCCAGCACGGATCTATCTGTGCTCCTCCTTGCCCGTTACAGGAGTCTGGACCAGGATGCTATCTTGGAAGCATATCCCAAATCACCACAACCAGGGCATTCAGTAGGGAAAAGCTTTGGTTTTGTCACAGACTGGTTTCAGAACACTGACAAGTTGAGTCTCCGGAAAATACTGATCTTTAAATCACTTCTGCCACCTGCTATGCTTATTTTTCAGATCAACTGGAGAGAATTATTTAAGTATCAAGTAGTTGAATCTTCATTAAAATACCAGAGGATTAAATTGTTTATCCATATGTACTCATTTACACTCTCAAGTAACTATTGTGCAAGTTCTGTATAAAAACTGCATAAAAAAAAAAACAGACAAGAATTGTCCAAATTTGTATTCTATCAACTGTAAAGTACCCGAAACCACTACATAATTCATGGTAACAAACAAGGCAGAACATTTGCAAAAGTAGCAGAAGCATGGCTCCTTTAAAAAACAGGCCATATCAGAGGCTGATACAAGCAG